TTTTTTTATATTCTATTTTTTATTACCACAAGTAAAAATTCCATATTAATAATACAAGAATTACTATTATTTTAAAGGCAACTTCCTGTATAAAATGTGACTATTTTTTACTAACATTAAACTAAAATCTTTAACAAAGTAATTATCAAAAACATAAACCTTACTTATAGGTTAATATTAACAAGATCACGTCATAAATTCCTTGAAAACTAGTTTCTTTCTACGAACACCAAATTCTTCTCATAAAGCTAATATTTTTTATTATCTATTTAGTTTAATTACAGTCCGGAATGACATATTTTCATGATTTATATAATTCAAAGTAGCTTACATTATTTATTTTAAAATTTTTAACACATTACAAAAATGACATGATTGATTTATAATTCAAACTGCCGCTTTTTATCTCCCCTCTCTACATATGGGACATATGGAACACTAGCGCCCTCTTATTTTTGTAAGATTTTTGTTTACATGGAGTTCGGGCTCCTTGTATAGTCTCCATGATTATAATGATAAATTTAGATTTTCAGGTATTTTTTTTTATGCATTTCTTTGGTTGTAGTTGTATGTGATTAACGGTCAATAAACACAAAATACTATGTATATAAATAACTAGTTTTATAGGTATTTATGTAAATATATATATTATTAACTTGTAACCTCAGACTTTTACATAGCGCAGACTGCGCATGTCCAGTGCATTTCACTCCTGCTCGGGCTAGGTGTAGATAAACTGCACTAGTGCAACTAACACTGAGCAGTGGAATAAGCAAGTGTGGTGTAAAATGCAACACTCTCTTGCAAAGGAACGATAACTGGCTATTCGGTGCAGCTGTACATACTACACTTTCTGTGCAAAGGAATAGGCCTAATCAGTCGCGAAAAAAAGCCTTATGGCCGGTCCTCATGTACAATTATTTACTGCGGAACTGCGGAGATGCGTAACTGCGAATCTCCGCAATTTTCAAACTACCGTCCAAATGCAAATGTCAAAAATAGTAGATGCGGATAACCTAGAAATTTGTACCGGTTTATTTTCGAGTATTTTCATTGAGGTATTTCAAATAATTATCTATTAATCTTTATGTGAAATATATTTACAATGGAAAACTTTGATGAAGATACAGCTTTCTTGGCTCTTGCTGTTTCAATGAAACAATACAGAGACTGTGCTTTGAGGTATAAAAAATGTTACCGTGAAAGATTGATAAAAATGTATAAGATATACAATTCTATTCTGGAGTTTCAAAAAAAACATAAAAAAATGTAGGTGAGAGATATTTTCTTGGCTGATAATTAATTATAGAGACGAAATAGATAAAAAACAAACTAATCAAACACGTTTTCAGAATATAAACAAATACAAATGGCCAATAAATGTCACACGAGCACAAAAGTAAACACCGGAATTCGGAATACGGAAAAAGTTGAATCTAGTCAACTTTTATCCGGAACGCATGCGGATCTGTCACTTTTTCAAAATGGCTGCTGTGCGTCCAATATTTTTTCGATATTGTGATCACGTGATTCCGCATCTCCGCAGTTCCGCACTAAATTATTGTACATGAGGACCGGCCATTATTTCAGAAGCCAGAAGACGTCATTTTGACGTACGACGAGTTTAATAAAACCATGCATATGTATGTATTATATATATTATGATGTAAAGTGTGGCGTTGAGCAAAGAGCACTGCTGTAGTGAATATATTTCTCTAATCTAGGGTAGTGATAGAGGATGAGGTTGTCGTAAGTTATTCATTTCATATTGACGATTCTGAATGAAGTTGTACCTAATATTTTGTTTAATAGTTCGTTTTATTTTGGGGTATATGTTTATAATTTATATTTTTATTGTAGGTTTACTTTTACCAGACTTTGAAATGGCTTTAAATTCTCCAAAATTAATGGTGTTCGATTTAGGTGAAGCTTATTTATTATTGCAAAGAAAATTGCAAATTAATAAAATTGTGTTGCAGATTACACGTTGTGGCCGTTTTGGATAGATACTCACGTATATCCACCATTTAAAACAAAGTAGTAGTAGGTTTCTAATGAGATTATAGTGTACGCAATTTACTTTCTTAATTTTAGATCTAATGGTCAAATAGTTGATTTATATGAGAGTCCAGTCACGCATTATCCAGAAGTACCAGATGTACTTGAAAAACTTCAGCGGGAAGGTTATATTTTAGGAGTAGCTTCTCGCACTTCCGAAATAAAAGGTGCTTTGCAATTAATAGATCTGTTTGGTTGGGATAAATACTTTACATATAAAGAAATATTTCCTGGGCAAAAAATTACACACTTTTACAAGTAAGTAGTTATCAGCTATTAGAATATATACCTAAGTAGCAAATACTAAAAATATTCAAATTGAGAATAATCACGTTTTTATAGGAGTCGGGAGGTCATACAAATATTTTTTTTATTTTTACAATAGTTTTATGTATTTATCAGCAGATAGATAGTATAGATAATAGAAAAATTTTATTTATGTGTTTGCTATTTATAGCTCTCTGTTCACATCATTTAATGTCAGTCTATTTTCATTACCAAGGCCATTTTTTGTTTTTTTTTTGAAAATTTATGTTATAAAATCTGAAAACGTCAGTATTTATGAAATATTTAAAGCACACGTGGAGCCTTTGTATATTTATTTTACAATTCTATTTTTGCTCTATATCCACATTATTAGTTTAATGGTAGAGGTAACGAAATGTATCAAGCTTGGTTTTAATTTGAATCTCTTGATGTAGGTTAGAATATAATAGTGTCATCTAGATTTGGAACATAATATGAACATGTGAAGGACACATGTTCAGCACACAATGTTTGTAATGAACTTGTTTTGCAATAGGTTATTTTAATAAGCAAATTTTTTATCAGCGACGAGTTTATTTTTATTTTTGAATTGATATCAACACAAATGCCAAGTCTTTCTATGTCCTGTTTTGCCTACTCTATTTCAAATACGAGTATTGAGCAAAATATAGCTAAACTCATTGTCCGAAAGTATTGATTAACCCTTGCAGATATGCACTGTTCTTGTAAAGAAATCATTAGGTTCTTGTTATTTTCATCATTTTTCAAATATGTTGACGTAACTTTGACTTGCAAGCTTGTTTATGATGTAATGGATAAAGAACATCATATTTATTACAGCTCATTTGTCACTGCAGAGCACAACAATTATTTGCTGATACATCTGTCTTTATCATCGAAAGGATTAACTTAAATAAATGTTGAAAGTAATAACTTAATTTTTCCTTAAAAAATTTGTAATGCTACATATCGTCTTTGCACCTTCAAAGTGTGACATGTATTTTATCAAATTGTGGAGTTAAAAACTGTTTCTTGGCCTTTTTTATTTAAAAACTACATCATTTATTTTTAATTTTAGCGAGGACAGTCACAATGCTGTAGAAAATAAGATGGTTTCTTTTAACCAAATTATACGGTTTGTCGTTGTTTATCGAATAATTCTGCAGTTAACTCGTTTTGTTGAAAATATGCACACATCTTATTTTGAAGGCACAATGACGATAAATATAGAATTATCTTTTAGAGAATTAATATTAGGGAGTCTAGTTTTCAGGATCAATAATGTAAATTCTGAAATTGGTTTCTAATTCTGAAATTTAACTAAAAAGAATGACATCAAATCTTCGCTCTGACATTACAGATGCAAAGTATCCTGGTGCCGTACCATTGGTACTCCACAACTCTGAAGTATTCAAGTGCTCTGCCACTTTTTGACTCCCGCCATGTATAAAAGCCCTAACAATGCGTACATTTCGTCAAAATCTATTGGTGGATAATCTCTAGGACGCAAATAAGATTCCTCCAGTTGTTCTAATCTCTGGTTTGTGAAAGTGACAATTTGTTCAACTACTACGCTAGGAAAAAATAATTGCCAGCAATCTAAAGCGGTTGTAGCTCTCTTGACAACGGCTTTTGCTCCGGCTAGTTGTGTTATAAGGTTAGGAAGACGTGTTTTTCTATTAGATGATTCGGTTTGTTTCAGCTACTTTGTGAAAATTTTACCCATGAACATAAGTCCCCTTTTGTTTGTGGTTGTGCAATAGTTCTTCTGTTAGTTGGAACTTCTGCAAACCATTTCAATAGCTTTTCTTCCTCTTGTCCATTTTCAAGTAATTATTAACTCTAAAAATCATATAGGAATAGAGATGGGCACTTTTCGGAAAAGTGTGTTACGGACGTATTTTTGTACCTTGAATCTAATAAGGCACCTGTGAGTGTTTTCATAGGTCACTCGGTCACTGCTTGAGGGTACACAAAGCAATTCTAATGAATATGTGTTATTAAATGTTATTTATTGTTTATTATATTTTTGATTAATTAGAATGCCTCATTTTTGTCTAATATAAAACATAAAATTGTGAAATTGTTTTTCCATCGTACTGGAATTCTTAAAAATTGTTTTTGGGCAGAAGTTACATTTATAATGATTTTTATACTCAATTCAAAAAAATATAACCAAACTGTTGATATTGGCGTCATATATACTTCATTTATAAAGTATTTGTGTATTGAATATTAAATTAAGAATCAACTGATTACTATTTACTAATCGTTAACTTTGCCAAAAATAATAAAATATGGACATATAAGAGGTTATATTTTTAAAAATGTCAGTTTCAGTTAAACAATTACCAACAAAATTACAAGAAAATGGCTAAATATCTTTAATTTTACATGTACTAACCTCAAATTTTTTTGCGGGAATTATGAATGCAACAGATAATTCCGCGCATCCGCATACAACTTTTCAATCATGAAAAGTGTCCTCAGATCTTGTTCACTTTTCACGACATGCCCGATGAACGTGTCAGCTGACATGTCCGCGGCACATCTCTATACAGGAATAAAATAAAACTATATTACAAAAAAGTTAAGCCCAACTTATCAGAAACAAAATAACACAAATTAAAAAACAGAAAACAAATAAAATTTTGAAGGCGTCCTTGGTCGCGTCGTTAGATTTTTTCTAACACTGTGACCGATCCCGGGTTAAACATGACTAGATTTTGTATGTAAATGATGAAAAGCTGTGGCTTGGATATGTGCAATTTGGTTTTGGGATTTCCGGTATTAATTCTGGGATGTAAAATTTTACAAAACATCTAAGATTTTTTTTAGATGTGTGCTGCGGACATGTCAGCCGGACATATCGTGAAAAGTGGACATGTTTTGATGACACTTTTTGATATTGAAAAGTTGTATGCGCATGCGCAGAATTTAGGGAGTTTTTGCATAAGGTATTAGGGTGTTTTTGCATATCGGTTTTAAGAATACCGTAAACGATAAACTCACGTGAGAGGGCATTGCGCATGTGCGTCGGTTACCGTTGGTGTGAGGTTAGGACACGCTTTACCAATTTACAATTGCTGATAAACGACACGATATGCAAAAACTGGGAGCATTCAGTACCCGCTATTTGTCAATACGGTATTCAGTCACGTGTTTTTAATATTTATCGTATTCGTAAATACCTTATGCAAAAACTCCCTATTTACGAATACGATAAACGTTAAAAACACGTGACTGAATACCGTATTGACAAATAGCGTGTATTGAATGTTTCCAGTTTTTGCATATCGTGTCGTTTATCCGCAATGGTAAAGCGTGTCCTAACCTCAATTCTGACGGTTATGCTTTCATTTGACACTTTTGCGGTAAAAGGCAGTCGGCAAGTTAAAGAAAAATGGATGGATTATTAATCGTACACAAAATTACTATCTTAAATGCACGGTAAACTAATACCGTAATCTGGGTTGGATATCGGAATACCGTAACGATAAACGGTAACTGTCGCACATGCGCAATGCCCTCTCACGTGACATCGTTTACGGTATTCTTAAAACCAATATGCAAAAACTCGCTATTATTTGTTGCATTCATAATTCCCACAAAAAATTGTTGAGGTTGGTACATGTAAAATTAAAGATATTAGCCATTTTCTTGTAATTTTGATGGTAATTGTTTAACTGAACCTTACATTTTAAAAATATTTCCTCTTATATGTCCATATTTTATTATTTTTGGCAAAGTTGAGGATTGGTAAATAGTAATCAGTTGATTCTTAATTTAATATTTAATACATAAATTGTTTATAAATGAAATATGACGCCAAAATCAACAGTTTGGTTATATTTTTCTGAATTGAGTAAAAATCATTATAAATGTAACTTCTGTTCAAAAATAATTTTTAAGAATTCCAGTAGGATGGAAAAATATTTAAATAAGTGTATTGGCTGTCCGGAGAAAATTGGAAACCAGTTCATAAAAAAGTTTAAAGGTAGGTAATAAGTAAAATATGTCGACACATATTCATTAGAATAAAAGTAATATTTTGCTTTGTGTACCCTGCAGTGATCTTTGAAAACATTCAAGGTCAAAAGTACTTTTCCCGACATTTCATCGACATGTCTAACGGACATATCTGTAACACTTCTGAAAAGTGCCCATCTCTAGATTTTTTGATGATTTTGGAATCCTGCAATCCAGAGGTTCTCTGTTTATCAGATATTTTAAATTGGATATTGTGCTGCATGTTTTAGTTATGTTGATTAATCATTACATTATACTTAATAAGCTTTTTGTAAAATTTCAGTATAAAAAAGCAATCTGGACTCAACTTTACCGAAATGATGTTTTTTGACGACGAACAACGTAATATCAGAGATATTAGTGAGCTGGGAGTGGTGTCTGTATACGTCAAGAACGGGGTTTCCAAAAAGGTGGTCGAGGAAGGGAAAAATATGTTTGCCAATAAAAGCAATGTGATAAATATATAAGATGCGATTTTTAACAGAGATATTTTTATTTTGTGTATATTTTAAAATACAAGACCGTTTAAATGTATAAAAGCGTTTTATTCACACAACATATAATGCATTCACAAAATAATATATTTTTGTACAATACTATACAATTCCTTACCGAAAATACAATTCACAATCACAATTCATTATTTTTATATATAACATAAATTAATTATCACTAAAATAAAATTAATGGACTAGTTAAATTAATATTGTTAAATATATATATATGGACGTTAAGTGTTTACAGTTGAAGAAATAATAGGTTCTTCATAAAACAAAAAAATAAAATAAACTGCAATAAAATCAGCTGTGTCTACGTTGGTGGTCATGTCCTCTAGCCTATAGTAAGTAATGAAGTTAAATAGATTTTTAGAGTAGATATATGGGATTATTTTTCAGAAGGTTTTTGAATTGAAGTTAGTCTCAATCCTTTCGCAAGCATTTGTTCTTCAAAGTCTCGGTCTTCAGTAGAATATCTGCAAGAAATACAAATATGTACTTTACTGTCGTTAAAATTTTATTTTGGCTGAAATTCAATTATGCAATTTACTTTTTGTTTATTAAAAAAATTAAGTTTTTTTTTTTAATAAAACAAAATTACTAATCATAATTATCCGCAAAAAAACTAGTAATATTTATTTCAGGAAAATAGGATTAAATAAGTTTTACTGTTGAAAATGTTTTATAAAATACAAAATATGAAACATTTTCTTCGATTTAAGTAATGTTTTATATTGAATTAAAAATATTTTAGCATTTCTTGAAAGGTAACAATTTGTAGAATTTATGTAAGGCCACTGTCTATTTCAAAGCAAAATTTTATATCGCTATAATAAACACATTTTTCTGAATAACATTGGGCATTCTTCCAAATACAATGTGCTGTTATATTTTACATTCTTTGCATCATTATGTATCTTAAAATTGTACCTAGATATTTTTCCTAAGAAATCCTAGTAAATTAGTTATAGTAAAAAATAAAAATCATGTAAAATTATTATGCCAAATTCGATCACTGGATTGAATTAATAAAAATAAAATAATATAATACATTTTACCATTTTTTAAATTAAAATTTTTTTTAGAAAATGAAAACGGATACGTCACTAATAAATATTTTTTATATTTATATCCTATAATTATTGTAAATTCACAGCGCAGTATACAGGGTGTATCTAAATAACACCAAAAAATGTAAGGGACGATTTTCTGATGAAAATTAATGAAAATTAATAGTTGTCTATGGTATAAATTTTTTTGAAAAAAACCCCTGTAAAGTTACGCCTCTTATATCTCAGCCTCGTATATCAAGCTAAAGAAACCAAACTTGGTGAACATTAACTGTTAAAAAAACTACTTTCTGAAACTTTTTCAACCCTGAAGTATTTTTGTAAGGGGTTGAAATAATGAACCCCTATGACATTCTTTCTTATAATTTTTTTTTGAGACAATTTTTGCCTAGATATGTCTAAAAGCCCTATTCATTTACTAACTTTTTGAACTCTTCAAATTTTTTCGAAAAGTTAAGGATTCATGAGAGAAAAAAATAAATATAGTGCAATGCATTTTTAAAAAGACGAGCTGTTTAACGTATGTATATTTTGTCGAAAGATCTAGTGGCCTGTTCTTTACAATGGAATCCGTAGAAATAAATGTCAATCTCATTTATTATTACTGTTTCTTATTAAGTTTGGTTTCTTTAGCTTCATATACATGGAAGAAAAAAAAGAAACTTTTTTTTTATTTTTGAAGGGGCATAACTTATCAGGGGATTTTTAAAAAAATTTTACACCAAAGACCCCTATTAATTTTCATCAAAGAATCGCCCCTTACATTTTTTTCGGTGTTAATTAGATACACCCTGTATATATTTTCAAATAGAGGCGGCTGGTTATACAAAATATCAGCACTATTACAATAAAATATGATCAGCAGTGGCGGCTGGTGTAAGGAGGGACTCTGGGCTGGAAATATTCATAGTAAAAAAATTTTATTTAAAATTTAATTTACAGTGTTATCTGGACAATTAAATAGATTACCCTTATGAACCATATTAAGAAGGAAATATTAATTTTGTAATGTGCAATTAATTTAATTCGACTTGCATAATTCATTTGAAATACTGAATACGTGGGTTCTCTAGCTCGCCTCTATACATGTAAAGTGTTTACAGTGGTGGTCATGGTTACCGTCATGTAGCAGTGAAAGACGAATAGTTTCGACTTTGTTTAGTCCGACCGCAACCAAATAGCAGTTATTCGCAGCATTTTTTCTTATTAAACGTAATTTGTTCAGGCGTGGTGTAAAATTTTGTTACTTACGTATTGCCTCTTGTGCGTTTCTTAAAAGATTGTAAAAGTTTAAATTGATTGTAAAGATAGACTAAGAGTAATGCTGTCTATTGAAAAGTTTATTTCGGACAAAAGCAGGAGAATGGACTTTCACTAAAAAAATTATGTTGAACACATTTTCGCTATATTTCAATAGTACTTAGAATAAAACAGCCCAATTATATTTTTTATTTTTTTTTCAATACTTTGTACCTTAATTTTTCTGCTCGCCCTGGTAAGGAAAAGCCGCCACTGCTCATCATTACTTTTGCATCAATTTGTTACATTTAGCTTATTATTACACAAATTCTTTTGAACTAATCATTATTACGTGGACTAAGCAAAAATACAGGACAGCACTATGTACATATAGAAAAAAAAAATAATTGCCAGTATTCCACCGGATGAAAAGCTAAGAGTACTACTTAGAGTGTTTTCTAAAGACACGAATTTAGGAAAACACCCTGTGTATACTAAAAGCCACAACCAAATTACATTGTCACCAGCCGCCAATGTATTTTATTCATTTCGTATAGTAGTTCATTCCTTGGATAGAAAAATATGTAAACAATTTCTCGGTTCGCAGCCGAAAATTGAATATGATAAAATGCGTTGTTAGTGTTAGGTTGCGCATGCAGTTAGTATCTACCGTTAATGTATTTTAGAAGTCGAGTATGATCTTACCTACTCTATAAGCCTGCTGAACTCAGAATAGGTGCAATATAAATAACAAAGTACATATGCAATGCATACCCCGAACCATTTAAAGTTTTGTGTATTATAAAACCCCTACTAATGACTACGTTTTAAGAGACGGCTTCAAGAAAAATTAGACAAACATAAAGCGCAACAACACTCCACAAACAATAAGCAAGCATAAAAAGAAAGCATGCAAATATGGAAAGTTGCTGTGGTTCGTCGGCTGACGTTGATGAAACAGTAAAGAGTGGTGGGGCAGAACGTCTACGTTTTATAGAGCACCTTAATCGATCTTCTTCTATTACTGCTATTAGCGAGTCTCTTTTGGAAACAATTTCCATCATTTCGTTTATTATACTTTCTTCCACCTTTACGTCTGCTTCGGTTTTTTGTTCATCTGAAAGAGAATTGTAAGTATGTACAACATAATTTATCTCATATTTTACAGTGCGATAAAAGAGTAGTTCAAGCCATTAACAGATTCTTTGGAGGAAATAATGGGGCTTTCCTTATGCCATTTTAGCCCAATTGGTGGAAGTAATTTTGCACCAAATGACTGATTTCTTTTTAATAAGTTTTTCAAAGTAAGCAGATTAATACAAGAAAAAGTTCACTGGTCTATCAATTTCCCAAAGTTCAACAGAAAAACATTTTGATTTTCTAAATTCTTTCATATTTTCGACTGGGATCAAGATAAAGAAAAATAAAAAATACCACCTTGTAGAAGTTTTTTTCCAACAAAAAAGATACTTTGCACTTTTTTTGTCCGAGCTATGGTTTGCCTGGAAAAAATTATTAAAGCCATGAAGTCATCTTCCGCAGGCAAACGAGAGAATAAATTCACTCTTCAAACATGAGAATTGTCAAATTTCACTCAAATATCTCTTATTAATATGTAGAAATGAATATTCGATCTTAATTCAATACAAAAAATAAAAAATTCAAAAATTTAAAAAAATTTCAAATTTTTTTTTAGATTTTCGAATATACTGAAGGTAAAAAAATTACACAAAATCATCTATATCTTGCTCATCATCATTATCATCAGCACCACTGCGCAGCCAGCCACGTAGACACCAACACAACGCACACTCTTATGAAAACCGGAACAGCTGCTGCGTCAGCCGCCAGTCCCTGCCGAATTTTATACCTGTTTTCACATATACTGTATTTCCTACCTGGACACTTTCATATTTGTTAACTATTTCCATTCTACTCTTTGAATATTCGTCTTCATATTGTAACAGTATGAAATTTTATATTAAACGATCAAAGGAGATTTACACCGAGAACCAGAAAAATTGCTATTTTCTTATAATATACAAAAAATCATTAAAAGTGAAAAACTTTCGTAACCAAATGAATTTGTGCTTAGAGATTCTCAATTTGTGTAATTCCTCCAACATTTAAAAAAAGTCTCATTCAAATTAGTTTAGTTTTAATAAAGTTCCAGAGGCTAATATACAAGGTGTTCTCAAAGTCGAGTCATTTATTTTATTTAACAGCTGGTAGAACTCATAAAAAAAAGTGGAAGATAAATTGTTTGTTTACTAACATAGACCTAGTGCTCGTTGCTGTCGTTGTTCCTTTAAACACCCTGCGTCGCGGAGTCTTATAACTTAATTTACAAATATCCACGAAGCCTAATGATTTCGAAAAGGAAACCTTTCCGTAGAAGCAACATGCTGTGGCTCCATAAGTTAATATTATGTGCACTAGTTCATTGTTTTCTTAAAAATGTGCCATTTTTATTGCATAAAACACCCACAAATCAAAAATAATATCACGCTCTACTGTACGAATTATTTAGCACTGTCAAATCAAAAAGCGTACTCAAAACCGTGCAACTACAAAAAAAAGACGTACCCAGTATCAGTAGTAAATAAACAATTTATGTTTTTACAACGGAGTGGTTGAAAATGACAATAAATCAGGTTTGTATTATAAAGTTTTTAAATTTCAATTTTTTAAAATAATTGTTAATGCTTGCTTTATTTGACAACTTTTATATAAACAATTTTTGGTAAATCAACTTTTTTTATGAGTTCTACCAGCTGTTAAAGTGACTCAACTTTGAGAACACCCTGTATATATTTTGGCGCAAACTCGAGATTCTTAAAATTTTTAAAATAACTACAAGGGTCATATCTCGTAATTAGATAAAATCCATTACCCGGAAATTTTATTTGTGAGGGCACCTAAATAACAATTCCCATTGAAAAAATGTTTTCAAACTATCCTTATGTTTAAATATATTTGTCATTGAGATGCTCGGTTTTCGACTCCTACTTAAAAATGGGTTATCACAATTATTATAGCGCGCGCGGAATGCATACCTGGTTTATTGAATTTTTTCCGGCCAAACCATAGCATGGACGAAAAAAGTACAAAGTATCTTTTTTGTTGGAAAAAAATTCCCCTACAAGGTGGTATTTTTTAATTTTCTCCATCTTCATTTCAAGCCAAAATATAAAAGAATTTCGAAAATCAAATTGTTTTTCAAAATTATTTTGGACTTTGGGAAACCGATAGACCAATGAACATTTTCTTATATTAACCTGCATACTTTCAAGTACTTATATAAAATATCAGCCATATTGCTAGTTATTTGTTTCTATTTTTCATTTAGGCGCTTCTTTTTCGTGATACAATAATAGTTCCTTGTTTTTATTTCATGCCGGTACATTTTTTATTGAATTTTATTTAAAAAATTGTGGTATTTTATATCTATAAGGTGTTTAATTTTTTTTAATGAAAAATTTTGGTCTAGGCTTACTATTGTTAAGTTTCAATATCCTAGAAACCAAGCTCCAATAAAAATTTTAAAAGTAAAAAATAAAGGGTGTGGGGGTGTGTTCTTCATTAATGTTGCGAAAAGTACTTTATTTACACCTTGTATATACAAAGAGAACCCTTAAGGAGAGAATGCATTAGGCGGTCACGGTCCCGTCACATCGTGGACCGTACTAGTCTCAATCGCGTGGGGTGGAGTTCCTTCCCATGTTTTATAATGTATGCATTCGCACTAGACGTTCTCGAACTTATCTCGCTCGCATCGTGTTCTCCACTGATCTTTTCCAAAGAATCTCGGAAGACCACGATGCATTGAGCTTCCTCTTCCATTTAACTCATTTTTTTTAAACTACTACAACAATACCTCAACTATTTAAAGGAGACGATTGCCAAATGCGACTGATTTTGTAAAAGACCGCGATCAGCTCAGCCCAGAACGGACCGCGATGCGACGGGACCGCGACTGCCTTATGCGTTCTCTTCTTAATAGATATGCGATAGAACACCAAGACATAACTGTACTTCTTTATCTTTGATATAGCATTCATTTAACATAAAAAAATAAATGTATGGAATAACATGAAATTGAAGTTCGTTGGGATTAAACAGATTGAAGATGGATTAATTTATCAGAGGTATTATTTTTGTTCCACATCAAATTATATTTAATTTAGATATTTTTTGAGAAAAACAACTTGTAACTGCTTGAAAATAAATTGAGACACAAATATGGCTGCAAAGTGTGTAAATTTAACTTACTATTTTCTAATCGCTCCCGAAGTTCATGCTGTAGCCTTGCATGCCTATCTTCAAGTTCTAGCTCTTGAGCTCTAATCATCAGTTCCTTCTCATATCGCCTTAATTCTGTGCGATCCCTCATCAAATCGAACCACTCCTGCAATAATTCGGATTCGTCTCTGTGGCACTCTTTGCTATCTTCCCCTCTTAGAGCTTTTTCAACTAAAACACCTCTCGTTTCTAATTCCCTGGTTTTTACTTCAGTTTCTTCTAGTTTTCGTTGTATTTCTTGAGCCATGCGGTGTCTGAGGAGTTAGTGTTAGTTAAAAACTACTCGATTTTTAGATTGTCAATTAGGTAGGATTATACTAATAAAATCGGGTCAAAACAATTAGTTTTCCTTTGTTAATTTCAAAAACGTGTTTAATATAAATCTTAAAACTCGTGCAAGTTTGCAAAACGTACATACCTTTTGAGTTGTGCTTGTCGAACCAACTTACGAGCTGATTTACCGGTTTTTCTGCCTGTGAGACTAGAGGTAGAATTTTCCAAAACGCCCGATTTATCTAATGTATCACATGAACTATGACCCTGATTTTTACAATCGTGTTCTCCTTCAGAACTTTCATCTACAATAAAAATAGTAATCATTGTCACACTTCAATAATGGATAAAAACTGCACCTTTTATCGTATAATTTACTGGCAAAGGAGGAATCGGAGGTGGCGTGGTAGCAACCCTCTCGATTTCAGATAAACTTCTTCTTCTTACAGGCTCTTCTGTGACCGTTTGCTGAAATTAAATTCATTCATGTAATTTTAGATATTATACCTTTGTACAGGGCGAGTCAGATTTAACGTCGCACCAGGGAGTATGTGGTAGTACTTTTGGAAAATAAGTAGGGTTTTTTGTATGAACATTTTTACGATTGTCAAAACCTATGTCCAATCTGGACGATGAAAAGTGGCTGATGCTGCTTGAACGGTTGGTCCAACCAGCGCGATCGGTGTGGCAAAGTCGGTTTTATAAAATGTTTTAATTGCTTTTAAAATGTAATTTGTTTTGAGAATCGCTGTGTCAAATGCACAGGTCGCACCTGTCACATGACCATGTTCATGGTAAGAAGTCGGTTAAAATAAAAAAAAGTACGCTTTTTTTAGATCAAATTTGTACAATTTTAACTTACATGAAACTAGAATGCAGACGATATTTTACTCATATACGTAACTGAACATTTTTAAATCCCTACTAATATTATAAATGTGAATGTAAGTTTGTTTGTTACACTTTCACGCGAAAACTACTTAACCGATCATCATGAAACTTTGTACACATATTCTTGGAGGTATTAGAAGTAACATAGGATACTTTTTATTAAAAAAAAAAATTTTTACGAAAGATTTTCTGTCACTTTGCGAGCGAAGCCGCGGGTAAAAGCTAGTATGAAATAAATTAACAATCAAATACTTGTTGGTCTGCATTCTAATAACTTAGATATTATTTCTGAATTTTTGTATACTTACAGTAATATACAGGGTGAACCACAGTTTAAAGAGAACATCTTAGTCCTACAGTGAGTATGTGGATATATACATTTGTAAGTTATTAAAAGTACGAAAAAAATATTTTCTTTCCAAACCAAATGAGAGGTCTCACTTTCTATACAAAATTCAATTCTAAATAGAAACGTTAAATAAAAAAAATATATAAAAATATTAATGGTGAATCATAACAACTTTCGTCGGTATTTTCACTTAAATCCGAGTAGCAATCGCTCGGTAAATGCATCCTTTTAACATGTAACTTCAACGATGCAAACTAACTGCTTATAATTGATTATTTTAAAAAATATATGGAATATTTTTATTGTAGTTTTAAGGGTGGAGGCAACCATACAACTCAGGCTAATTAATATTCAAATTATCCATGAAAGGTTCCTTTAAAAATTGAGTTAAGCCTGTATCTATCTGACAATGCAATTTGCTTGCAGGGATTTATCAGACCAAGTAATTCTGTTGCGAAATGAATTGCATTTGCTTACTACCAACCTGTATTTTACAGTTGGTAGACCTGTGGAAAAATGAATATCAGTGTCAGTTTTTCATATGTTGGTTTATCCATTCTACGATCATTTTTAAAACTACAATTTTATCCCCGCAATTTTGTAGCGGGTACAGGCTTTAGGAATGTACTTGTCGTTACCATTAGACAATGACTTTAAATTTGCATATACAGGGTGTTTATTAAGTACTTGTACGAATTTTAAAAGGTGAATCTTTGATAATTTTAAGATAAAAAATTCATATGAACATGGGTCTGCAACGGCTTGGTTTTTGAGATACAGAGCGTTAAAAAAAAATTTTTGAAACTTAAATATTTACTTAGTTTTTTGTTTAATGTTGGAGGACGCCACATATAATGTTGTACCTGGATTTAAATAACCATAACTTTTTTGTGTCACACTAAACACACCTATTCTAACATTAAACAAAAAACTAAGTACTACATATTTGAGGTTCTCATCATCAATATTTCCAGTTTCCTGAATTTTGTCAAATTGTCATGTTATTGAACAAAAATATAATCAAAATACCAAACAAACATATTTTTTTTTGATGCTCTGTATCTCAAGAACCAAGCCGTGGCAGATCCATGTTCATATAAAATTTTCGTCTTAGAATCATTCAAAGACTCATACTTTAAAGTTTCTACAAGTACTTAATAAACACCCTGTATATCCATCATAACCAGATAAGAGGTTAATAATGTCAGTATATGAAATTGACGAGCACAATGTGTAACTTGCCATTACATAAAGCTTTATCTTTTGGGAAGTCGAAAATATGAACTTTAAGTTTATTTTTATGACATACTGTTTTTTTTTTATCACAAGAATATCGAAATGTACTTGCTGGATGAAGAAAAGTTTGGCTACAAAAACGCTGTAGAAAAATAAACAGTATATTTAATTTCACTGCTTAGCTTAGGGCTTACTCAGTGCCTGCATAGTTCTGTTCTAACCTCCAAAAAGTATGACCTTTACGAAGGGGAACATAAAGTAAATTTTGTAATGAGTGAAAATATGAATTTTTTTTTGAGTGAATTTTATTTGAAATACAATATTAACGTAGTAAAAAAGTGCTTCTAGCATTCAGTCACGGAAATCACAAACATTATATGGAAAAATCAGTTTTTTTAAATAAAAGTTTCTAGTTGGGAATTTATTTCTATTAAAAAAATGCCATTTATTCTTTTTAAATATGCAAGGTGTATTGTATTCGAACAATAAAAAGAAGCATATACGGAGCCTTCACAAATGATTACAAGCCACGTGACCAGTAATTTTATTTGAAAAGTAATTTTATTTCCTTCATTGTGGCATTTAGATTTCGGTAAAATTAAAAATTATTAAGAGGGCTCTATACCAAATAGGCAACTAGCAATGCATTTTTATAGATTTTACTAAACAATTTGTCTAAATATTAATTAATGCATAAATAACAGACTTTCCCCCATTTTAACACAAGATTTTCTTTAAAATGGACTTGGTTTGAAACTCGAATAACTTTTTGGTGTAAAGAAATTTGTAATTTACAACACGTCTTTTTCACAAATTTAGATTTCAATAAAAAATACTTTATTTTTACCATTAAGAGAGCGTTTTATTTAGCTGTACAGTGAAAGCAACCCTCAAGTGGTTGCTTTATATGCTAATTAGATATGCAGATTTGGATCACCCCTGCGAATAACGACGGATCAGGGTCGACAGTTCGAATTGCACCTATTCAGACGCCTCAATAGTTTACTAAGTACGACTCATCTCAGCAAATGGCATGGTAGAGCTTTTTCACCGCCAATTAAAAGCAGCGATAAAATGCCACCAAAACCACTGTGCTATTGGGAATACGTGCAGCATGGAAAGAAGACATTCAAGCTACTGCCGCCGAGATGATGTACGGACAACATCTATGCCCACCCGGAGAATTTCTTCATTCCCACAGGACAGACGAAGAGTTCAGTACTGTTAAAGATCTCAGACGTCATATTGAGAGCTTACATCCAGCTGCAGTTAAACGCCATTTCGAGAAGACGCCATTCATTTTTAAAGCCTTGGCAACAGCGACACACGTTTTTGTGTGTGTGGATGGCGTTAAAACTCAACTACAAAACCCATATGATGGTCCATTTACACTGATCAAACACGACGATAAAACGCGAAGTTAAAGTGTCCATAGACAGAATCAAGCCTGTGTATTGTCTGAATGACGCGACAAGTACCAGGGGCAATGAGAATAGCCTCCCGTCAACTTCTACTCCATTATCCGTGCCAACTACACCCAAGACAATTACCAGTAGGTCCGGTAGAAGGGTCCATTTCCCTGACCGGCTGCAAGTTCCGTGATGGCATCCATACTGGCAAGGGGGTGTGTTGGCACACATGCTGCAAGTGACCCATTTTTAAGTACAACGTTAATAGTTCCAAAAAAAAGGTCGACGGCAGATTGGCGCCAAAGACCAGGTACTTCAGCGAGCGACTCCACACCAAGAGGAACTCTCCAGCGAACGCTCGCCCTGACAACACGTCTTTTTCACAAACTTAGTTTTCAATAAAAAATACTTTATTTTTACCATTGAGAGAGCATTTTATTTTGCTGTACAGCGAAAGCAACCTTCATTAGAATGGAGGAAAGTCTGTTATTTGTGCATTGATTCATATTTATACAAACTGTGTAATAAAATCTATAAAAATGTATTGCTGGTTGCCTATTTGCTATAGAGGCATCTTAAAATAATAAGATCAAGGTTAAATCCATATATATTAAAAGCTGTAGGTTATTCTCGCTCCCACACTCGGCCGCGAAAAGAGGCATATGGTATTATCAAAGGCTTTCTTCACGAGCCACGCAGCGGCGAGCTGAGAGGCCCGAAGGGTCGGTCCTTCTTTTATCCAAACATCGTATTTTCAAGGCGATCTGTTCGTGCCTTCTATGTGAAATTTCCACTTTAAAAAGAGTCGTCGCCAAAAATCGACTTTTTTCGGTGGGAGAGATACCTGAAGTATATTCGATATTTAAACAGAGATGGAGACAAACGTCAGTGAAGACGTTAAAATAAATGTTGTCATTTAACGCGTTTTCCCGGACGATCGGGCCACGGTGAGTCGTTACATTGCCGTTAGGTATCGGTTCCGATCTTTTAGAGACGCAACTTTGGCAACAAAACTTGATTTGAACATTTTCAATTTTCTGTTTACATTCGCGGAGAACAAACGTTTCAAATACCCCGTGCAGGCTCTACCTAGCGTTAGATCGCCGCAGCTCATTTTGTAGACACGACTGCGAAGCCGAAGGTTCGGGTTTGAATCGCGGGCGGGTCGCATTTTTTCTTTTTTTGGGGGGGGGGGAAATGTTATATATTATTTATCAACCCACAGAGAACACAGCGCGGAACCAAAGGCCCGAGAGAAAGGTCAAGTCCGCACTTGCCTAGCTTTCTAGTTAAAACTTAAAACACAACATTCTGCCTCACCAAATGGTGATTGGTGTAATTTTTCACGAGATTCTATTGAACCAATCAGTAATTGCATTGTCTCGACCGTAGATATAATGTCACTGTTCATTGTAAACCAATCATTAATATCGGTGACGCTAAGGGATTTTTATTTGACAGTACCAGCCGTCTAATGTTGGTTGTCTAAGTACGTCACGTGGCTTGTAATCATTGATGAAGGCTCTATTTTTGAGAACACTGACACACTCAGACTATTAGGCTAGTTTTGCATAGAAAGTGTAAACCCTCCTTTATAATTATGTACACTGGGATACAATTGTCATTTACTTTTGCTTTTATACATTTTTTTCTTTTTGTTTTATGTTTATATATATTTTTTCAATATTGTACATGCTGAGAAAAAATTGTAGAATTTTAAGTTCTAGTTTTTAGGGTTTTCTTTAAACTTTCAAAATGGTTCATCCTGTATATTAGAAACACTATTAAATAGGTGTTAACATCCCAGAAAAAAGTAAAAGTGAATATGATGATGCTGAAAGCATGCTTGGAAAAAAAAGGTGATCAAGAACATGCACAACGACTACTTCACACACGCAATAATTTTATACTGAATTACGAAAAAAAATCTTACAGTATCTCTTAGGTCCAGATTTGCACATGACTGTAAAATATAGTTCAGTTAGTTAGTTGTTTCTCACAAAGCCTTTTTTTTTGTTTCATGAGATGTTATGAATGGTCTATGAAATACACTTGATGAAATACAACAGTTATGTACAGAAAATATTTACAAGTTATATATTTTTTTTGTAGTTACCTTTGACAAATCCTTCGACTTTGGGGATAGCTTTGAAAACAGACTTTTCGAATTACTACTGGGGCTTTTCTTTGTAAACAGAGTAGATATTAATTTCGTGATGCTTTTCCTTCGTTCACGATCTTTGCTTTTCTTTTTAGGTTTAACATATATAGTATCTAATAAATTAGGATCAGACTTACAAATTTTCTTTGCTTCCATTTGCTTATCTGCAGATTGAGCTGCCGAGAAAGTTTTTGGAAATTCCGAAACGGACTTGGTTCTGACCGGAATTCCCCTGTTGTATTCTACGTTATTTTTACTGGACAACAGTTTTAAATTGGACGTCTGTTCCGCGCATTCACTACTTTTAGATCTTTTAAACGAGTTGTTCTTCTTTTTGTTCAGAGAATCGTTTGAATGCAAGAAAGAGTTTCTTCTTTCGGTATTCACCACGAGGGACTCTATACTTTCCTGAATATGCGGATTCGCAATTTCGTTTTCTTTCCCTCGTTTACTGATCTTGTCTCGTAACTTTAACAGTTTTTCCTCCGGACTCAACCCCAGCTCCTCGTTAGATAAGAGTTTTGCTCTTGCTCTGGCGTCCTGTTTTAATTTGTCCGCCTTGTTGGTTTCGTCGTTTAACCTGTGTAACCTCGGGGGAGCCTTGGGGGTTACAAAGTCGTCACTGAACAGATTCTTTCTAATGTCCGGCATGCTGCAATTTTCCGAATTTCTCAACGGCTGACTCGGTTTTACCTCGTCTATTTTTTTCTCTGTAATATAGGAGTAAACACTGAGCGGCCTATTATTTTGCTCCTTTATTGACGATAAAGGTGTTGAGAAAATGTCAGCACTTGAGTTCATGTCGGATATTGTGTTAACGGATTGCGAGTTTTGCAACGGGATCAAATTTGTCGTTAAAAGCACGTCCGGTGTTGTGTAAGTACTCGAACCGGTAGAATATATCGAACTTCTATTAAAATTGTCTTTATTAATTTGTGATACATCCGTAGTGGCAGACTTCGTTAAATTGAAGGGGCTACTTGTGTTTAAACTGGGGGATATTTGTCTGTTCCTCTTTTTTCTCTCCAAAGACTTGTGTTCCGCTTTCATTTTGTTCATCACCATTTCTTGTATTAATCTTTGATTAACGTCTCTTTCCTTCTGTAAAATTTCCTTTTTGTATAAAATATCGGGAGTTTTTGGTGTGGACGTTAAATTCGGCGCGTAAGAGTTTGGCGACTGCACAGGTGTTAATTTCTCTTCTTGTATTAGATCCGGTTTTTGCGGAGACTCCGATTTGCTCTTTCTTCTCGACTTACGAATGTCAATGGAATCCTTAACATTACCAAATTCCACTTTCGACTGTAAACGTTGACAGTGTTCCTCGAATTCGATATTATTATCCGCAATGGATTCTCCTTGGTCGAATCGTTTTTCTTTTAAATCTCGTCCTTTCAACGCCATTTCTTCTTTGACTTTCGCCAACTTTTCTTCTAGTTTCTGTTTATGTAAACTGTTATTTTCCGTACGATTTTCTACGAGCGGCTGAACTTTGTCTACCGATATCTCAGTAATATTTTTCACAGTTGAGTCGCTGCAAGTATTTTCCTCTGTAGTTGTACCCGTTTCCACAATCAATAAACTATCTTCCTCGTGTTCAGCTAGAGTTTGCCTTTGTTTTAACTTTTCTAAATCGGACGACTTTAAATTTATCACAGCATCAAATGGTTTATCCTCGGTGGCTAGAATACAATAACCAGTGTTTTTCGGTTCATATTTCTCGTCTACGTGAACGTTTGTTGCTTCAACTATATCGTTAATGTTGGGGTTGAGACTGTCTTCCGCAAAATCATCTTCGTTTTTAAACAATACGTAACCCTCTTGACTATTGCCCACACCATCGTCGCTGCTTGTTTCCGTCCCTGTATCCATAAATTCAATGTTGTCCAGGTTCGCACTGAGAATACTGTTCATTGTTTCAGTGATTATCGTCTTATTCCTGAAATCTTTCATTTGCTTCTCTTTACCGCATATGTGATCCAATTCTGGCATTTTTGCGATTGTGGGATCTTTGTTTTTCCTGTAAGGCTTTTCGGGTTCTCTGTTGAACTCGAATTCAGCATCTTCGAAATCGTCGGATACGGCTCCGTCCCTTGCCCAATCGGAAAGCTCGGTTTCGGTTAGGGCGGTTGTGGCTTGCTCTGCACCTGAATCCGGAGAACTTAATCCGCTCGAATTTCTGATAGATATACTATCAACTTCGGGAGACACCTTCTCTCTGCTGTGATTAACGTGTAGCGATTTATGGATATCCGGCAACATACTTTCCAAGTCGGGTAAAGATTTTGGCTGGTTAAGTGTCTTCTTTTCGCTGGTAATCGATTTAGAGGGTTCGCTGTGTAAGGAGTAATTGTTATCCGTTTGAACGGGTTTTTCCATGTTTGTTTCTACAATGCATAGGGAGTCCGGCGGAATGTCGTCGTCATCGTCATGGGCTTCATGAACCTCAACTCGTGGTATATTCTCAAACTGATTGTTTGACGTAGTTACGTGTTCATTATTGTCGCTGCTTGATGTGCACAGACTGTCCGACGACTGACTGCGATTTTTTTTGCTCCAATCAATCTCAGGGACGATAATGGAAGTTTCGTGCACGGGGCTTCTTGGACGGCCTTCTGATTCATTTTGAAAAACGTAGGGTTCGGCTTCAGGCACTTTGTTATCACTCGTGTTATGTGACGTGACGTTTGTAACGTCCGGAGGAGGTTGTTTTTCCTTGGTCGATTCCTCCTTTTTAACGTTATCCAAGTTGATCATCGACGACTGTGGTGATAAGACAGGCGAATGGCACTCGTCAAGCTTGTTACAAAATGTTTGCATGCTGGCGCTTATTTCTTTAGCGGGTTTCAGCAATTTCTGACAGTCTGAAATGGCCGTGTGAAACGTTTTAAATTTCGAATCGAGCGTAGAAGCGCTGCCTGATTTTTGTATACTACCCGGAGCGTTCTCACCTAGCAAATATTTCTTTTTAAGTTCTAGCGATACTTTAGCGGCAATTCCCCCAGTGCTCTGAGTGCGATTTAAAGCATAACCTTCAGTACGTGGTAGTAAAATATGTGCGGGTTTTTTTATAGAGGGTGCAGAAGGTACAAGAGGTTTCAGTTTTAACTCGATATCTGGTTTTTTTATTCTCTCGTTTGTGGGCCTTTGCAAATAACCACTTGTCACCTGTATCCTTTTCGCAGTTCCTCCACTGCCCCTCGTTTTAGTTACATTAAAGTCATTTAAAATAATTGCGGGTATCTCCCTTGTCGGAGTGGGATCGTCGTGTGCAAACTCAGAGTCAGTCGATATTTCCGTTGCAGAGTTTTGAATTTCGCTTGATGATTCGGAACTGGTTTCGTCAGAGACAACCTGAAAATTAGAAAAGGTAACATTAAACACTGAACAAACTAAGTCTTTAAAAAAATATGAATACTAATAAACACACGTTAATATTTATAACATAAGCAAAAAAAAACGTAAAACAGTATTTTTGACTTTTGAAAATTGTTACTTGGGAATTCAAAATAACTCAATAAATTCAAGAATACTGTTAAATTTTAGAACAACAAAATATTCTTATGTTATTTAACATTAATATACCAGATCGGTAGCATTAGCGTAATTCAGCAAAAAGAGGGTTGTTTCTGCAGCAATAAGCAATGGTTCTACAAAGCAAGCCAACCGCCGAAAATGTATCATTCTCTATCAGGCGAGCTCTCAGACTTTTTGAGAACTGAAAAAGTCGAATATGAGTCATCCACTGTCCAGCCCTGATTTGGAACCCAATGACTTTTGTTTATTCCCATACATCAAAAAGAAATTATGAGGTCAATATTTTTCGACGCTTGAATATTTTGAAAAACAATAAAGGATGATTAATTTTTTTTTTGTTATCTATTCCCGAAATATAAAAGACAACCCTTGTTCAAGGTGTCGAAAACTCGATAGTATGGCCTACTGTGAGGGAACAAAAAATTTAAATAAAACTTGAGACACATGGTGTTAAAGCTCCATTTTCAATCCAAATTATTTTCTTTGGGATTTGACAGAAACGACTAATGACATCATCAATTATATTTTTTCCAGTAACATACCCAAATGTTTTTTCCTATTAAAAAGCTCTCTTTTTTCTAATAAAACTTTTATTAGAGAAATTTTTCTATATTACTTCCTGTTTAAGAGTCTCAAAAGAAATACCACCTAAAAATCACATTAGCAGTGGAAAGATCTAGTAGTCATTGGAAAATAATTGAATGTCCGTTGTTTAAAGTGCATCAATGTCAAAAAATACTTGTCATTACTCAATACGAATGTCAAACGTATAACTTGTACCTACAAAATGTTGTCTCATTCAGAAAATGTTGATATATTGCTAATTTATGGCGAGTCACAAAAAAATTCAAGAAGAGCTGTAGAGTTATATCAAGAAAGGTACCTTCCAGGGCGCCTCATTCTTGATCATAAAACCTTTACAGATTGGAGGCGACTTTGCGACTAAATGAAGATGCATTTTCTGTTGGGAAAAATCAAATAATAGACCGAAAGGTAAAAAACAATGTTAATACAGCTAGACTGTTACAGTATTTCGTACAAAATCCACAATCCTATATGGCAGGCTAGCCGGGAATTGAATTTGGATGAATCAGCCGTTCAACGAATTTTAAAGACTAATGACTATCAAGACTACAAAATTCACAATTTGGAATATTTGCCTGAGCATCACATTAAAAACAGACTTAATTTTATAGCTCAAATTGTAGTAAATGTAGAAACTGTTGATCAGAACCTTTTTCGGCACGTTCTTTGAACAGACGGAAGTCGATTTGTCAGTAATGGTTTGCCAAACATGTGCAACGAACACTACTGGTCCATTGAAAATCCCCACATTGTAAATCCAGTCCAAAACCAAGGCCATTTTGGAGCAAATGTAGGCCAGGATTGTGCAGCAATATTTAGATAACACTTTCCCAGAAAAATGGATTGGTCTTGGTATTCAATCATGAATAAATAATGCAACCGGGGCACTGTTTTAATTTACTTTTAATATAAAATTAACTTTCACAACAACTCGCCATGTTTTAATCATTACAACTTACTGTCTACTACTGCTACGACATCTATACTTAAACTAGCAAATATGAAGCTTTATCATTGCATATAGAGATGGCGCAATCTGTATCTCTAACAATTGGGCTTAACGGACCTATTCTAACACCCACAATATTTTTTTATGGGGGTTTTAAAAAATACGGTTTACAAAACATCTTCGCGAGATATTAATCATTAGGAAGAAAAAATCACAAATGCTTGTAATAAGTTAAACAGCGAAATGTTAATAAACGCAGCCCACAAAGAAGTCGGGCGAAGATTGGATATGTGTCTTGAAATATATATAATAGATTGTAATATGTATGCAGTATGAAAGCGTTTACCTCATTTTTTAAGTTTAGATATTGTTATCATCACCTTTTGTTTTAACTGTATTAAAGAATTATCAAATTTAATCCTTTTATTTATTATTAATCATATTTATGCACTTTAAACAACGAACATTCAATTATTTTCCAACGACTACTTGATCCTTCCACCGCTAATGTGATTTTTAGGTGGTATTTCTTTTGAGACTCTTTAGGGCGATATTGCTTATAACTTTTAAACGGGAAGTAATACAGAAAAATTTCTCTAATAAAAGTTTATTAGAAAAAAGAGAGCTTTTTAACAGGAAAAAATTTGAGTATATTTCTGGAAAAAATATAATTGATGACATCATTAGTTGTTTCTGACAAATCCCAAAGTAGTCGAGGAAATGAAACACTGAACCTCCGAAATCTGTGCAGTAAGATGGATCGTGATGCAGTTTTTTGCATTCGATTCGTTAGAGTGCGAGCGTCCAGAAAGTTTGTGACCCTATGTGATCAATGAGAAATGAAAATTCCATCGGTGCATAAAAAAATGCATTTTTAAAATTGCATCTCGAAGAGTTAAAATTTGAAAAATTTATAACTTGGTTTTTGGGGTCGCTGAACACGAATATCACAACGGCAACGGTCTTCGAGGTACCTAGTGCCCAGGGTGACTGGTTTCCACGTCGTCTCCTGGATTTTGTAGAAATTCGTTATAAACTTAGCCGAAATTCGTTACCTCGGGGTTTTGGGGTTACTCAACACGAATATCACAACGGTAATGGTCTCCGTGGTACCGATGTCATCTTCATAAGCTTTATCGAATATCTAAATAAATTATCTGAAACATTTTTTTTTTAATTTGGCGCTTTTAATACAGTTGGTAGCACTGATGAAATTTTAGGTAAGGACTGCGATCACTGTCTAGCTGTCGAGTATATACTAATATATACTCTTACACATACTAGTATATTGGATTTGCTCAAAGAAACTCCAGCAGATGACGTGGAAACCGGACACCCTGGGCACTAGGTACCTCAGAGACCATTGCCGTCGTGATATTCGTGTTCAGCGATCGCAACTCATTTCCGTCAATATTTTTCGAGTTATAAAATTTTCATTTTTTAACTCTTCGAGATGCAATTTTAAAAATGTATTTTTGTTATGCACCGATGCAATTTTCATTTCTCATCGATCACATAGGGTCACAAACTTTCTGGACGCTCTAACGAATCGAATGCAAAAAACTGCATCACGATCTATCTTACTGCACAGATTTCGGAGGTAAGGCCGTTTTTAGTGCTGTATTTCCTCAACTAAAGATAATACTTTCGACTGAAAATGTTGAATGAAATGAATGTTGAAATGAAATTTTTTGTACCCTCATGGCAGGCCCATACTATCGAGTTTGAGACACCCTGTACAATTTGCAAACCGTAAATAGCAGACTGCAGAAACAGACCTATTGTTATTGGAATTAGTTCTACATTCTATCAACCTAGAATATTTAACTAAAACTGGTACTGAAATTAAACAATAATCTTAACTTTTTTTTCTTTTGTAAAACAATATAGGTACAAAATATTTGAAAGGAATTTGAATTTAGCTGAATTACTATTTCATAATACTGAAAATGTTAAAAATATATCTAGGTTTCATCTTCTGGCATTAGTATTATGATTTATATTAAAAAAAAAGAAAAAAAAAATGGGTTAAACAACACTCACGTCAGCAATGGATTAAATTGCAATTAATACATACAATAAAATCACTCCATACTTATAGTTACCTTTTTACCATTGCTTTAACGTGACTGTTGACCAGGTAGCCAAATCATCATCAAAACTACAATATTCTGGATGGGATATCATTCGGTGAATGCATTTTACAATAAATATATTCATTAAAAACACATAATAAACTTTAAAAATCGCTTCAACACATATAAACTTTCAACAAACTTAACAATGTTAATTCAATTAGTTTAGACAATCATTTTCAATCCGTTGCTGTAGCAGAATATTTCTACCCGTAAATATAAAACTATAAAATTTTTAAAAAATGCAGTTTACTGAATGCAGCAGTCTTTACTATTTTTTCTCGAAGAAGAGGGGACTGACTCCGTATTTACATTATCTACAGTTTGCACTTTCGGAAGGTTGTAACAAGTAACCACTTCTTTTTTTACGTCCAAGTTACTGGTTGAACAGCTTTTGTCTTTATCGGTATTTGGCCTCAATTGTGATTCTCCAAAGGAGACCTTTCTTGTAGGCATGGGAGAAACCGTCGCGGACCTTTTTCTTTGTGGTCTAACGGGCTGGATCAGATTTTTATCTTCCGTGTGTTTGTGTGTCAATACGTGTCTAGGAGGAAGCACTGGGGATCCGGTACAACTACTGTTTTTATTCGCCCTGTTTTGTTCATGAGATTTTTGCCTCATCGGCCTTTGTGGCAGAGAACTGCTATCGCTTTCACTAAAATGGCTTAGAACTTGTTTCTCCCCATCTGGTTCTTTGCAATTGCTAGGAATAATTGAGAGATTTATTCCTTCCATGACAGCAATTTGAATTCGTGATGGAGGTTCAACGGGTTCTGATACTTTACTTTTCGTTACTTTTAAAAAGTCATCCTCTTCCTCCTCAGATAGCTCCTCAGTGGACGCCCTTGGTGCCGATTGTATGGGTACATTTTTTCCATCAACTTTTTCTGTTGGATTAAGTACATTCTCATAACTAGAGGTGTCGGAGCTATATGAAGAGTCGTCAATTTTTATATCCCTATTAGAAGAGTCTTCTTTATTAATTTCTTCTTCTAATTGAAATTCAGGCTTTTTGTCATCCACAAAATGAACCTGTCCAATAATAACTTTTTGTGTCGGTAAATTTTCTTCTATAGAAATACTCGTGTCTTCTACGGCTTTAGAGAAATCATGGGGAACGTCTGCTTCGCTTTTTGAATTCTCATCAGTTTGAGACGTGCAAGCAATCACCGAGAAAGAGTTTCCTTCATTTGCGTTACTTCCAACATCCTCATCCACTAAAGATGTGTCTGTAGATGCCACAGCTTTGGAAAAGTCATGAGGTACTGGCAGATTATCTGCAACAACGGAAACCGTCTCTGATGTGCTTTCACAAGTACGATCCGATTCGTTCGTATCATTTTTGTTCACCTCATTTTCTACTGCTCCAATTCCTGAATTTTTAACGAATTCGTAATTTGGTACAGTGGTAACAGTCACATTTGCACACCATTTATTACTTTCTGAATTCGTTCCGTCTTTCGGATCATATTTATTTCCTATACTTTGAATGGTAGCCTCGACGAACTTTTCCAAGTCTTTGAGCGTATCTTCTATGGACGGTTCATTGGATTTTATGTTCAGAGTCCAATCTGCAGATTTCGAAGGAGTAGGTTGGCTTTTTTTATACGAAGGCTTCCTAAATTCCTTTGGTTCACTTTCAAATTTGTCTATTGTCCCTCTAATAGGTCTTGGTCGTGGTAAATATTTTTTATTTGTAGCGTCGACAGGCTTTGGGCTGGCACTCGCCGATCTAAAACTCGCAAAGGAGTTCCTCTTTGCTAGATTCCGAACGGGCGACTTTGACCTTTCTTTTACAGTTTCATCCTCGGTTGATTCAAACTTCTGAAGCATTTTTTTAATGTTAACCTTAGTGGGCATATCTAAGTCAACGGATGATCTAGGTTGGTTTTTTTTTCTGAAGTTGATCTCGGTTTTTGACCTCTTCAACGACGGTTTAATCACGTTGTTTGTGTCATCACTATCATCGCTGTCTTCCTTGGGTACACCTTTCCCAGATAAATGTTGTTCGAAAAATGCCAGATTGTTTCTTGGTATTTTGCTAACGACGGAATCTGATCTTTGAGGGCTTTTTAAAACCTTTTCTAAATGTTTGTACTTTACGTCGCTAAAAGATCTGTAAACTTTTCTGTCCTTGGTGTCGTGATCTAAACCTTCCATCCAAGAGAGGAGATCTTCGATTTTTTCGTCAGGTTTCTCTTCAATAATTTCGTCGGTGACTTTGGTTTCGGTTTCTAAGGCTTTAAGTAGATCTTCAATGCTACTGGATACCTTTTCATCGTCGGATTTCTCAGGGGATTCCGGACATAAAGAATATTTCTTAGGATCAATCGGCTTTTGCAATTCTTCTTCATTTGCAATTAAATCTTCAATATAATTATCGATGTCTTTTATATCGGAGTCTTCCGGTTCGAAGTTGAACGTCTTAACATCTTTTTTCTCATCCGATGTCTCCGGTAGGCTTTTCTGCTTAACTAGAGGCTGTCTAGGAGCACTGGTGACAGTCTCAGATCTTAGTAAAGGTTTTTTAGGTGTAACTTTCTTAGACTGATCGCCAAAATATTTTTTTGTATCGAGAACATTTGTGTTTACCGCTACCTTCGGTTTACCTACTTCTTTGGGTAATGAAATTTTACTTGGTGTTCTCTTGATTATAAGAAGGGGTTCCGGTTCTGCAGGCTTAAATTTCGGCATAAATTCAGCGCCAAAACTCTTTCTGCTTTCTTTGGGGGGTAATACAAAATTACGTAACGGTTTTTTTAAAGACAATGTACCAGCAGTGGCACTTCTCGCTAAAGGATTAGATTTTAATTCATTGTTATTTTTTGCATTGGAATTACTTTTACCTTCTGCATTTGGTGAGATCGTTAATTTTCCTACTACAACATTATTTTTTTCGGTATCCTTTAAATTATCACAACTTGTTTTATTCATGTTTAAATCTAAATCGCCGGATTCAGCACTATTAAAGTCAGTGGAATTTACTGAAATATTGTCGGAAGATCTGTTTAAATTTATATCACTAATACTGAGGCGATTATGAGAGGATAGTATGTCGGGAATTTTAGTTAAGTTAAAAGATGATTTCACCTCAGTGTCAGTGCCAGTGTCAGTTTGCACTATAGGTGGTTCCACACGAACTTCCTGTTTACGTAATTCACGGGCACGGATCTCTTCCTCCCCTTCAGTAGCTGTTTCAGAATCATCATCTGTAAAAAAACAGGAAACTGAATAGTTTTTAAATACATCCTGTTAAAATTTGTAAAATCAATAATTTTAATAATGATTATACTTTTAAATTCAATAAGTCAGTGATGACAGTCTTTCATAGAAATTCATGAGTGTTCTTTAAGGGCATGATGAAAAAACGGTGTTTTAAAAAAGGAAAATCGAGTAAAATAATTGATTTTCAAACATACAAAAAAAAACTGAAAAAACATGTCATGTATGTCTCAAATATGTTAGTTATTTATATACAGGGTGTGTCATTTAACACTCCCGCTGCCAATATCTCTGAAATTAAGAAATTTATTTTAGTTGTTAGGTCCCGTCAAATAGCTTCAAATTGTAGTTAGAATTGTTAATTCAAATCTTTCTGTATAGATGGCGTGGCGATACTAAAAAATTTTTTGATTCCTGGAACGTGGAAATACAGTCCATTTGAAAGATCGTTAAATTTTGAGTAATTTTTGTAATGCAAAATTTTTTCCTATATTTACTTGTTTTCGAGATATGTCGACTTCAATATGCAATGTATGCTATAATAGGAAAATCTATTATTTTATTTAAATCACACCGAGACAAAATATTCTTCGCAGACGAACCGTATTTTATCAAATATTATTAAAAAATGCAGTCATAGCTGGCTCATGTCATTTGTTTATAATAAAACAATGACAGATGACACATATTAGTTTTCCAATAATTACAGTTTTATCAGTTTGCGTCTTTCAATTCAACTATAATAGATATACGATTTACCATTGTAAAATTTTTTTTCTGTAATTGATCATTTGTTTTTTTTTATAATTTATTGATTGTTAGTTAGTATGTGTTGCGAATAAAGTCATTATAACAATATTTTAAAAGAATATTTTGTCTCGGTTATATCATACATTTCATATTGGAGTCGACATATCTTGAAAACAAGTAAATATAGGGAAAAACTTTATATTAAAAAAAATACTCAAAATTTAACGGTCTTTCAGATGGACTGTATTTCCACGTTCCAGGGATTAAAAAATTTTTTAGTATCGTCACGCTATCTATACAGAAATATTTGAACTAACAGATCTAACTACAATTTGAAGCTATTCGAGAGACCTAACAACCCCCAAAAAATATAAAAAAAATGACTAATAATTAGAAATTTTAAAAAATTTAAGTAAATTTCTGGTCTCTGCATTCACATACATGCAGTATCCAAATTTACCGCGAAAAGTAAGTCTGACATCTAAGAACTGAATATGTACAATAAATAGTGATTTTCGATTGTTATATTTTTTAAACAATGGTCATGCACCATTCTGATTTATGAGGAGTGCCGACAAATTGCAGTCGCAGCATCTTGTATGCAGCGTTTTTCACGTAACCCTTTCATTAAGTTTTTAAATTTTCAGTTACGACAGAAATTTGAAATTTTCATAGCTATCTGGGTTCAATTCAGTCTTTTCAAATGAAATATTTTCAACTGTGGAGTATTTCCGGTCACACTGGAAGTGTCATCCTCTCCGTTATTTAAAATAAAATTCTGCGTCTATTGATATAGAAGTTTCCTATACTCACATTCAACGGTTTCGGAGATAATCGCGATTATTTATAAAAAAGAAACTTTAGCGTCTGTTAATTTGGATCTGTTAATCCTTGATTATGGATTACCAAGTTAGATTTGAAATTAATGAAGAAAATTTGAATTCCCAAAAATGTATTTTTATATCCGAAATTTTATCTTAAACTAAAGACAATAAAAGGGCTTTTTACTTAACTGACTAATGCAAATATCAAGATAAGAAAGCTCTATTCAGACACGGGCTAATCTGTGTTTCATAGGCAACTACAGGTTAGGCGAATTACTAATCCATGGGTAATTTCTGATTTCGTTGGGATATTAGCTGACAGAGTTATGTGTTATCAGCAGAGAGCGGACAATTTGTGACTTTAACCTTGAACATAGATATGTCATTCATAAACCTAGATACATTACCCATGACGCAGTGGCGTGTCGGGTATGCATAGGAAATTTACGTGATAATTCACGAAAATTCCACGGTACATACATTTTTAGGCGTTATAAAATATTTAGAAAATCAGAAATTGTATACTACATATAAATAAAGTTCGGTTAAAAATAGTGTCGTTCTTTTAATTGGAAATTAGGAGTCAATGTAACGAATATCCTCAGGCGACGCACATGATAGAATAGTCCAACTCACACTCCATTCATAACAGAGCTGCAGTTTGAATTCTGACCAATAGGAATTCGAAAAACGCAACCGATGTCGACGGATGGACTAGAGATGGGCGCGAGTGTCATTTAATTTCTTTAGAACTAAAATATCTTAATTATTTTCTCGTTATTTAACCTGTTCACATGATTTATGGATTTTAAATAAAGGGTACAAATCTTCGCGAGGATAATACGATATATTTGCTATACATAATAATTATATTTTGCATAGTTTATACACAATACATTTTTGAACGCGTACACATCTCTACCAAAATTTGACCTATTCTTCGGGTTAAAGACACACATTGTCCGCTCTCTAGTTATCAGACAAATCCATTATGTATGCATGCCTTATCACAGTGCATAATCTAAGGGTTAGTTCTAACCGAAAAAGCAGTTCTTAAAAAAAAAAGTTCTAAAAGTTAAAAAGGGCAGTTGCAAAATTTGATAATTAGAAGTAGACCTCCTTGCTTATTTGTTTGTATAAAAAAATGTGTGTCTGTTATTTGCACAAATCGAATTTTTCGGGCGCTTTCTTTTGAGATTTTGGGTAGTTCCTAAAATTCCTTAAATTATGCCCTGCCTCATCAAGATTTCATATGGAACAAATATGTACATACATGCTTTTAAATATTTGAGCGTGACATACCATAAATAAGCTATTTACGTAGGTAAATAGTAAAGTAAGTAAAGTAGTAGTAAATGTTCAATATGTCCTCCATTAATTGTTATGTAGGCAGCAAACAATCATTTTTTCTACTTCGCCAACTGAAGCTTTTCTAACTATGTCTGGATTCAGTTAAAATGCTACAACACCTGACTATGGTTTTTCAAATCTTTAGTATCAACTGGACGTGCATGCATAGAGGTTTTTTTTGTGGCCCCATAAATAGAAGTCTAAAGGTATTAAATCAGGTGCTCTAGGGGGGCCATCGCCATTATTACCAATCCATCGATCTTCAAACATATTATTTAATTGTTGGAAATCTTGTCTAGACGTGTGTGCTCCTGCCTCCATCCAGTTAATACCAACTCTACTTCAATATTTGTAAAGATAATTCATCAAGAAATGTCGAAACTGTCCCTCTTAATATACCAATATATTTCTGGGAATTTAAATTTTCTTCATAAAGGACCCCGCACAAATCTTATGGAAATTGGGTCCCGGTCAAATTCGCTGAATTTTTGATATGTGATAGAGTTCATCATACTGGTCAATTGTCTCAATGGCCACAAAGCTCAAAAATGGATAGTTTGGCCGGTACAGAGCTTTAAAGCTCCGAATATCCTCCACGGATTTATGTATATGCGCAGTGTGTATAGACTTTTGAAATAGCCTATTTCATTTTTTTTATTATCTAGGTTTATATTTTTGAGGTTGCTGAATTCAGATCTGTTGTTAGATTTTCAAAATTGACAGTTGGCAGCTGTCAAATAGCTGTCAATGTGCTATAATAAAGCCAAAAACTTGTTTTTTATGTTTTATTTTTTTTTTTTTTTAGTTCGATAAGTTCAAAGACGATATCAAATCAATAACAATGACTATCGGCAGCTGTCATTTAGCTGTCAACAATTCTTCAAAGTCCGGTAATAAAGTCAAAAAATTATTTTTTGTTTATAACTTCAAGTTTTTTAGATAAGTGAATATAAATATGATATAAAATTATGTAGTCATCAGCTTACAGCTGTCAACAAGCTGTCAACTAACTGTCAAAATGCAATAATAGAGCAAGTAACTTATTTTTTGTGCTTAACTTTGTGGATAAGAAATCAAACATGATATAAGTTTATGACATCACTTTTGAACTCAGTGATCTAAGCAACTTAAAGCTTTTTAAAAAAAGTAACTTTTTGACTTTATTATTGCATTTTGACAGTTAGTTGACAGCTTGTTGACAGCTGTAAGCTGATGACTACATAATTTTATATCATATTTATATTCACTTATCTAAAAAACTTGAAGTTATAAACAAAAAATAATTTTTTGACTTTATTACCGGACTTTGAAGAATTGTTGACAGCTAAATGACAGCTGCCGATAGTCATTGTTATTGATTTGATATCGTCTTTGAACTTATCGAACTAAAAAAAAAGAAAGATAAAACATAAAAAAACAAGTTTTTGGCTTTATTATAGCACATTGACAGCTATTTGACAGCTGCCAACTGTCAATTTTGAAAATCTAACAACAGATCTGAATTCAGCAACCTCAAAAATATAAACCTAGATAATAAAAAAAATGAAATAGGCTATTTCAAAAGTCTATACACACTGCGCATATACATAAATCCGTGGAGGATATTCGGAGCTTTAAAGCTCTGTACCGGCCAAACTATCCATTTTTGAGCTTTGTGGCCATTGAGACAATTGACCAGTATGATGAACTCTATCACATATCAAAAATTCAGCGAATTTGACCGGGACCCAATTTCCATAAGATTTGTGCGGGGTCCTTTCAAATAGAACCTGGTCATCCATAATCAAGGCAAACACATTAAATCCGAACTTACCTTGAAAGTGATGGTTTCTTGAAATTTTGACATCAGAGCCTTCTTAAAAATTATAGTAGCAAATTAACGGATGCTAAAGTTTCTCTTTTATAAATAATCGCGATTATCACCGAAACTGTTGAATATGAGTATAGGAAACGTCTATATCAAATGACGCAGAAAGAACGTAATCAGGAAATAAAATCTACCCTGACAGACCTGAGGAAAATAACTTAATTGACGTTTAAAAAAAAAACAAAAAGGACGGAATCAGGGAAAGTGGGAAATGTACGATTATTCCAGAAAACAAAACCTAGAGAAACGACATATTAACCGGGAGCCCGAAGATGTACCATCAAAATACGATGACTCTGGGTCAAACCCAGAGATCTGGCAACCCTACTCCTGACTAATAAAATTGTTGATGTTCCATTTGAAAAAAATTTGTTTTCAATCTTTGAAGATTAGTGTAGTGGCCGCAAAATTTTGAGGACCCTGTAGATAATTGGGTCAAATGTGGCACATTTTCTATGAACTAATAATGCAAATATGACATTTCCAGCTAAACAGACGTTAGAGATATTTAATATCAATCGTGACGAAAATATTTAAAGGAATCTAAATATCTCGAAAACTATCAATTTTCAAGGCATGGATGTAGAATCGATAAATGATATGAAAAATGGGGTATTCCATGTAAAATGACGGAAATGACGAAGACTTCTATTGTAACTGCAAGTTTAAAAACTTTTATTGAACGGGTTAACTGAAAAATCTTGTATACAGAAAGAAGTTTTTATTTAAATTACGAATTTAAATCTATTTATTTACTCTTTATTATTTCAGGGGTCTATAATTTGGAACAACATTCATACAGTCCCAAAATTTGATCATAACGATATGAATTAACTTGTATAGGTGATAGTATGTATGTATATTGAGTGTACTTGTATTTGTCAAAATAAAACATTAGTATTAAACAATTTATATACAAAGATTTTTAACAAAAGTAAACATCACTGAACAGCTCAACGACACAGCTTGATTTAAACATAGAGCTACATACTATGATTGTGAAACCTAAGCCTTGTCTTCACAAGTCCTGTGATCAAAATTAATTTTCCAATTACTGGAAAATAATCTTCTATTAGGATTAACGTTAACATACATTTTTTAAATTATGACATTTACGTTTAATGAAATTAAATTAGAATGAGATTTTTTTAATATTGTGCGTCACAACTTACATTTTAGTTTAATAGTATATTGTTTTTTTTTTACATAAACCTTTGCTTACCATCAGAGCTATTTTCATAATAACTGGATTGATCTGAACTGCTGTACCCATTTGAATCAGAATCACGTCTCTTTTTCGAGTAACTATTTTTCCATCTATCGGCCCACTTCATCGTTCCCTCTTTGGTAACTGGCTCTTCCAAAGCATCATCAAACGCATCCTCATCTTCACTATCTGTGTCACTATAGAGAAGCGTATTAAATTTGTGTCAAATAAATTTTAGTCGCTTACCTTAAGCTAGAGGATTCGTCCTCACTGTCCTCCATTTCTGCACAGGAAGCTCCGAAATTCTTGTCTGTCCATTCATCTTCATCCATTTGGTTTATGGACTCTTCTTGATCCGATGATGCGTTGCCAGTAGAAAGATTAGCAAATTCTGCTCTTTCTGGAGTTTCAACTAAACAATAAAAATAATTTGTAGGTTTCAGTTCAGTATTTAGCAAACCGTTTCTTACTACGTAAGAACAACTGCCACCCACAGGGGGCGAAGACAATGTTTTAATTGTCAGTGTTGCGAGAAACAACTACTCTGAGGGCTATATGCCCTTACCGGCATTGAATTATACCCACAACACTAAGTGCAACAGCTAGGATCGTTCGCCAGTTTAACCCCCCAGACACAGACCGGTTTCAGACTTATTAGTCCTCATCAGTGTGCCATAGGTGAGACAACTGACGAACGATCCAGTTGTTTTGCGTCGTATCATCACAACAAGGAAATACATTGTACGCGGGAGCGCAAATGGTTCCATCTGTCGTGCCGAATCCCAACTATGCCATACTTACTAACCTCTGTCCAACAAGTCTAAACCAGTCAATTCCGGTTTCTTCTCCGGGCTACGTCCAGGTTGCCTTAGAGTTGGTTTCTTTATCACTTTGGTGACAGGAAGTTCTCCGACCATTCCAAAGTGATGTATACAAAAGAATTTGTTATCATATAAGCCGTCACGATCGAAAGCGTACGATCCAAGGCGTAGCTGAGTATTACAGTATTGACATCTAAAAAAAAAGAATATTGAGAAATCAAAGTAACACTGGACTAGAGAAAATTATACTTGAAACATCCGTGATGGAAAAATCTGCCCTCGGCTGATAATCTTTCCATGAGATATACCCTTTTGCCGCAAAAGTGACAGAATTCCGAACCTCCCTGTGCAGGCAATACAACTGGACGATTATTCTGAAACAAGTTTATTAAAATTCCAGAAACTGCAGTTGTGTACGTACTCCTTACAGTTTTTTCGACGGGTTTAGTTTCCTGTGGCACTTTGCTTACTAACTTTTCTGTTATGGTAGCCACCTTGTTTCGGCCTAATTCTCTTATATTTCCCTCTTTAAGTTTCAGATCTAAATCTTTAATGTTCTTGTCTATATTTGCATATTTAGCTAAAACAGTAAACTTGTGGTAAAAATATAACAAATGAATTAACATTATAATTACCTTCAGCGCTGTCTTGCCTGTCCAAATGTTGCTTCTCCATTTTGGTTTGTCTAGCTAAGAATTGTTCCTTGCTCCATTTCGGGACTTTTTCTTTATCGTAGACTTTCGATGGTTTACCCATTTTGTTTTCCTTTATCTTCTTCTCGATTTCCTTTATATTCCAATCTGACGTTTCAATTTTTCCAATGGCTCGAAGTAAATCCTTAGGTTTCTTTTCGATAGGCTGTTGCTCTTGTAATTTACTTTCGAAATTTTTGATTCTAGCTGCCAAATCTTCGTCGGCTCCCCCAGTACGAGATGTAAGATTTGGCATTTTGTTTTCATGATCCTAAATAATGGATAATTAGATTAGAATAGAATTTTCGCTTATTATGCAAGAAAAACGTAGATTTAATCTTTTTTTTTTTGCACGCGATATTTACACACCTAAAGAAATTTATCATCTGTGTCTTGGAAAAACGTGTATATGTAATCAGATTTTCTTTAATCCAATTAAAAGTTGAGCAGTTGTAAGAAATGTATGAATAATATTTTGTGTACTTAGCAAGATGATTTCTAGTTATTTTTTAACATAAAAACAAGAAATATGTACATTATTAAAAAAAAAACTCTAGATACAAAGTTGTCGACACTAGTGTAGAGTACCCGCTGACAGAAAATTAAAAAACAACAGTCAACATTTTACATATCAATTTAGATGTTTTCAAAAATGAATCATAACAAATTGGTCACACAAATCATGCATAAAATCATAAAAAAATTAAACAAAAACGTAGTAAATCACAATCACACTTAATCTTTTAATATGGGTTAAAAGTCTAAAAAAATCTTTATATGAATAAATTGTACATGTTAGATAATGAACTGTTTCAATTATTGCTGTCGCAGATTAATTTAAAAATAGATTGAAACCGTCAATAGGTTTCTTTCCACAAGTGAAACTATAAACAAAAAATGATATAAATACATAAGGAAATTAAAACAGAAGAAAGTTAATAAAGAACAATTTATGCTTCGGTTTATTGCGTTTTGTTGGAATTTTTCAAACTATAGTTTTAAACAGTGCTCACAACTTGATGTGACGTAATTATCGTATCCACAGCGTAAAATTATCGTAAATGGACCAGAATTATCGTATTCATCACAATAATCTCTATAATGAATAAATAGATCACATTAAACATTAACTGAATATTTCGATCAATTTACTTTACCGACGGCCGACAACAAGTAAATTTCTTAGGAAGAATGCAACAAATGGATGAAATCAAGGATATTTATAATATATTTTAAATATCCTTGGGATGAAATCAGGTCCTTGGATGAAATGATTGACACACGAGTCGGCAAGACAGCACACATTACCTAAGGAAGGAGTGAGCCAATAGATAGCGCTGTTAGCATAATCATCCCGTTATCGGCCATCAGGGTAGGAATAAAATGAATTCTCAAAATTTGCATCATAATGGAAATTATCGTACAATCTGCTTGTGCTACAGTACATCGTACGTAGGCATGAAGTTATCGTATATATACGATAATTATCGTACGGTTGCGAACACTGTTATTAAAGTGGGAAAATAATGATGTCATTATTGAGATACTGAAATTTAGGACCGGAATCAGTTTAATTTAAATAATTTAATGGAATAAAAGTTAATACACAACAAATATGACAGAAATTTCATAATCTGACATGACATTAAACCCGAGAAATAACCTAGAGCTGGATAGTGAACAAATTGTTTATTTTGAATACAGAATATGTAGATTCAAGAAATCAGTTTTGAAATGTAATAGTATATTATTCAACGAGCGTATAATGATGGGTATTATTCACGAGGTGAAGTTTACGGCCACGAGCCGCAGGTGAGTGTCCTAAATCACCGAGTGGATAATAGCCATTATACGGGAGTAGAATACTATACTTTATCCACGACTACTAAATATTTTTGTTAAAGTTTTTTTTTGTTGGAAAATTTTGTTATATTACATACACATTTTAAGAAACACTATTATTTTATTCTAATAAATATTTCATACATTACATTATTGTTCATTTATGCAAAATTATAATAATCGTATAATATCTCATAATAAATAATACAAAAATCTATATATTTAGCTTAACAAAAATCACGTGTTTAATTTTACAAGATGATGCTATTTATTTATAGTTATTAATAACTGTAATATTTGAACAATTGGTCAAGTTAATCGGAGGGATAGAATTAACATCAAAACTAATGTTTTGGTGACTTGAAACATTTGAATTATATGTACATTGATTCGTTTGGTTTAGTTTTGGTTGAATTGAAGATGATATTTTGTTGGCCGTATTGCTTTTATTTTTGACGGATTCGTCTATGTAGCCTTCTGCTATGGCGCCGGCGGTGGACTTCCATCCACCGTGTCTTTTGAGAGCAGTAATATCCCAGCCTGCATCAACCAGTATTGTTGCGGAAGATCTGCGGAAACTGTGCCCAGAATATTGTTCTGGATTCGGCAATTTGAGGAAAGCAGCGATATCCTTTCCCATTTTTGTAAATTTGTTTATCCCACTTCTCTGAGTTGTACATTTACCATTTTGGAAATTTAAAAAGAATGTGTCACTGGTTACATGACTTGGTCGAAGACTTATATATGTCTTGCATATTTTGTAAAAGTTATCCGTAACAGTAAATTTTCGGCAAATTTTTGTCTTAGTATTTGGCACATTAACCAAAAAAGCTGATCCAAAATCTTGTAAATGGGTTATTTTCATTTCATACAACTCATTACTTCTGCATGCACCCATTACTCCCATTATTAAAGCAACCTTAAATTACAGAATGTAATGAAATAACTATGTGCAAGATTTACTTAATATCTTACCTTTGTTGCTAGGTATTTATCA